AGTTTGTTTGGTATTAAAATTTCTTTTTAATCTTTTTAAGAACGAATTTATATTGTAGTGTAAAATTTTTTTTTATCTTTTTTATATTTTTTAATATATTAAAAGTAAAAAATAACTTTTCATAAGTATTTCATTATAATTTGAAATAAAGTAAATATATATATCATTATATATATTTTTAGGTAATAACATTACTTTTAAGTAAATTTTTTTTTAATAAACTTTTTTAACATTGCTTAAAATTATTATCATATATGAAAAAAATCTTATAAGATTTTTTAAAAGTTTATAGAACGGACGTTTTTTATTGATATTTACTTTAATATAAACTAAGAAAGTTATAATCTTTTACTATTATCTATTTATTTTGAACGAACTTTTCTTGAAAAATCTTATTTTTTTTTAATAAAAACTTTTTTTTTCCTTTTTTTTTTATTTGCACTAAATAAAAAGTATTCTTGTTACTACTTATAATAAAGTTATTATAAGAAAGGTTCTTAGTGGAGGCCTCACAAACTTTTTTGGTTACGCTGAAAACTTTTCAGCCAAATTTTCTAACGGACTTTTCAATTCTTCTTCTTTTCGGGTTTCTTTCTTTGATTTTATTAATTTTTTTTGTTATTGTTAATAAGTTTATATTTTTTGAATTTTTGTAGAACTCTTTTCAAAGTTTTATTATAAATTTCATAAAACAAGTGAAGTTTATATAAACTGTTTAAGGGATTTATCTTTTAAATTTTTTTATATAATTGTATTTGCAAATTTATAATCTTTTTTTAAAACAATTTCTTATAAAAATATAAAACAGTTAATATCTTTGATATATTATTTAATATCCGTATAAAAAAATTTTTTTTTTAATCTAATACTTTTTTATAAAAAAATTAATTTTTAGAACTTTTATTTATTTTTATAAGGATATTATATATAATCCCATATAAATAAGAATTAAAATATATTTTTATATATATACTACTTTTTAAAAAGTTTATTTCAGATTCATTTAATCAATATATTATAAAATATTTAATAAAACAATATAATAATCAATATTATTTTCTTTTAAATATATTAAAAGAAACTATTTTTATTATATATCTAGTTTTTAAAAAATATTCTATTATATATATAGATTATAATAAAGTTTAAGTGGCTTTCACTATCATTAATAATATATTGTAAAACACTTTTAAAAAATATTGTCTTAGAAAATTTTACTAGTTTATTTTTTCATAAAAGTAAAGTTTATTATATATTATAAATATACTATAAAACATATGTTAATAATTTTTTTCTGATAAACAATTTTTATTATAAAATATTTTACCTGAAGTTATATCTTTTTATGAAAGTTTGTATTTTTATATTATTTTTTTATAATAGTTTTAAATAATAGTTTTAAAGAAAATAAAAAATTTTATTTTTCGTAATAGATTTTATAAAACAATATTTTTATTTTTTTATACAATAATTTTAGAATTTTTTTTATCTATTAAAAGTTTATTATAAAAAAGCCCTTTTTTAATTTTTTTATATTTTATGAAAAAATATAATAATTTTTAGTGAATATTCAAAAAAAAATTATTATGAAATTTTACCTAAAAAATACTTTTATATCAACATTTTTTAGTTTATTTTTTTATATTAATAATATTTTATATATTTTATAATACAGAAGTTGTTTATATAATTATAATTATTATATACAAAATTTTTTATTTTTCTTATACTATAAAAGTTTATTAAGAAAATTTTAATAACTTTATATTTATAATATATTTTGTTACAACTCTATAAAAAAATATGCATTTTTATATATTGTAAATATTATAAAAGTTTTTAATATAGTAATACTTTTTCTCTTTATTATTATGTAAAAATTTTTAGAAGAAACAAAATAACTTTTTCTATCCATTATATTTATAATTTTCTACTGCAATCTTTTGTAATTAATAAGAAGTTTTATTTATTTCATTATGAAAAGTGTTAATGAAAATACAACGATCTAATATTTTATTACAATTTTTATTATATAGTTGATTAAATTAAAGTTTATAATAAAAGTTTATTGAATTGTTTGTTATTTTTAATTTTTTTATTTATTTCTTAAAAAAGTTTGTTATATATATTACAAATATAGTTTTAAATGAAGTTTTAAAATATTAAAAAAGTAAAGAAATATAATAATAACTTTTAGTTAAATATTAAATTTTATAAAACAAAAACTTTTCAATACAACTTTTGTAAGTATGTTAAAAAGTTTGTTTTATTATAAACAAACAAAGTTTATAAACATTTCATAAAACGATAAGCAAATAAGGAAATATAATTATAATATTATTGAAACATTCTTTTTTTTATCATAAGAAAACTTTTATATATAATTTTATTAATATATGAAAAAGTAAATAAATAAATAGAATAATATTACGTCATAAAGTTTTCGATGTAAAAATATATGAATTTTTTATAACTTTTATGAATAGTTTAAAATAAGTTTATGTATTATTATTAATATATAAAGTTATTAAAAGTCTACTATAACTATTTTTATAGTTAATATATGGAGGTCAATAATATTATAATAATTGATAAGGATAATTTTTTTATGCATCTTTCATAAAATATAAAAATGTTTGTTTCTTTATTATTAACAAATAAGTTTATTAAAATAAGTTTTATAGTAATAAGAAAATAAAAAATATATAATATAATAATAATTTTTAGGAATAAATAATAAATGTTACATAAAGTTAATATATTTTTTTCTTAGTTTATTTTTATAACATTTTTGATACAACTTTTATAAATAAATTTTAAAATGTCCACGCTAATTTTATTATTTATAAATAAACTTTAACACAATATAAACTTTTTTTTATAGTTAATAATTTTTAAGTGCTATAAACATTATTCCGCTTATAAATTTTGTAAAGTTTATACGAATTTTATTTTTGTTATATTGTTATTATTGTCTATATATATATTTTAAATATTATGCTTTCTTTTAGTATTGAAAACTTCTTTTAAGCTGTAATAATAAATATTAAGGATACTATTTCCATTTTTTTAATATTTGTAGCTTTTTTCAAAATATTTCTTATTTATTTACTTAATTTTTTTTTTAGTAATTTCAGCTTTATTCAAGCCCTTAAATTAAATTTTTTTTGTATTTTCTTTTCTTTAAGTATTTTTATTATTTAAAACCGTTTAAGTAATTTTTTTATAAAAAATATTATATTTTTTATTTACATTTTAATTAATAATTTATAATTACTGCATATGCAAACCAATTATAATAAAAAAATATTGCTTATATTTTTTTATTTCATATTTTTTCTTGTAGATTTTTTTTACGAAACCCTTACTGGCTTCTACTTCTTCTGTTGATATTGAAATGTTTAAAACCTTTGAAAATCATGAGCTGGTCAGCTCTTATGCTGAATGGCAGAGAGGCGGCCACGTGCTTTACAGAGTTTTTTATATAATAATAATGATTTTCATAATAATAATAAGTTTTCTTTTTAATGCTTTTTATGTATTCCTCATTATTATATGTACTTTACTTATATTTTTCACTATTTTTATACCAAAGATCAATAAAATGAATGGTTTACATGAACTTAAATATTCAGCGGTTGCTAGAGAAATTGGCGGGAATTCCTTGTCTTGTTCTTGGCCGATCAGAAGTGAAATGGGTGTATTTTCATTACTATTTTATTATATTTATTATTAAAATTCTTTTTGCTTTGACCACTATTTTAATACTTATTATTATAATATTATTATTAGCATAATTTTGCATATCTTTGTTATATATTATAGAATTTCATTTATATTTACCGACTTTTGTGTATTTTTTAGTAAGAATTATGATGCTAAAATTTTTATAGTAAAAACTTTAATATTGCTATAATATAAATATAAAAAGGGCATTTTTATTATATAATTTTATTTTTTTCTTCTGTATTATTTATATTTCCTTTTTATTATATTTTCAATATCAAAAGATATTTTAAGTACTGTAGATCTCACCAAAACTACTTTTTTTATAATATTTTATTATTTTTAAAAAGATTATAATATTATGTTCAATTCTCTATACATTACTTTTGAAATTTTTAAAAGATTTATTAGAAAATTATTCAAGAAAATTAATTTTTTATATTATTATTATAAATTTTAAAAGAATTTCTTGGAAACTTTTCAAAAATTATTTTTTCTAATCATTACTTTTTATTTTAAAATTTATATTTATTTAAATTTTATAATTATTATTTAAAAAAAATTTATGATAAGGAAACTTTAAAAATTAAGAAAATATATTTTTTTGTTATTTTATTATTATTATTAATTATTTATATTTAAAGTAAACTTTTATATTTTTATTATTATTTGTATAATAAAAAGATTTTTATATTTACTTTTTTTTTTGCTTTTATGTTTCTTTACAAAACTTCTAATGTGCATGTTTTCTTGTTATTATTCTATAATATTGTATACGTTTATTTTTATTTATTATAAATAAAAAGTTTATTAATTTTATTTTGTTAATAAATTCATATTACTTTTGTTATATTTTATTATTTCTTATTTTTTGTTATTATTTTTATATTGTTATTATTTTTAAGTAAAACTTTTTATATATCTTTTTTACTATATAACTGTTAATAGTTATAACTTTTTTTTATAGATCGTTTAAAATTTTCGTAACATTTTATTCTGAATATCTTTTGTTATTATTTGAATGAATTTTTTCTTACTTTTTCAAATTACATAAAGAATTTTATTTATTTTTTCTAATAAATATTCATATATTTATATACATTTCTCTATTTTATAACTTGCTCACCAATTTTTTTTATTAGTATTTACTATTTTTTTATTTTTTTAATGTAATATTTATTAAAAACTTAATATTATTATTATAAGTCCATGTTACTTTTATTATTACTTTATATATTTATTATACAAATATAAGGTCATTCGTTCAAATCTTCTTTTTCGTATCTTTTTCATCGCGATAGGCGCAACGATATATCGCTCCCTTCTTCTGGATATTTGCTTAAACTTTTTCAAGTTTTTATTTTATTATATATATTTTTTAAAAAAACTAATGAAGCATGAAAAAAGTTTATTTTTTCATTTTTTTTATGATATAAAAAATAATAAATAATATAATAAGTGAAACAAAATATATATATTATTAGTAGTAAAAAATTTGTTAAATAGTAAAAATTTTACAGCTATTATTATTATTTTTTTCTTATCATCATTACTATTATTAAAGAAACTTCGAAAAAAGAGAACAACTTTACAATACAATAATTTATTATTTATTATAATAGAATATTTACTTGGTAATGTCTGTTATTACAATAATATAATAATTATATTAAAGTTTTTTCAACACATTTGACAGAAAAGTTGTATAAAAATATGAATTTATAAAAAAAATTTTTTTTACTCTTAAGTGAAAAATGCGTAATTATATATAAACTTATAAATTTTTATAATAATTTAGAAGAGAAGTTTTACAGAAACAAAAAGGTTTTATAAAAAAACGATATACCAAAAAAAAAAAAGAAGAACAAAAGTTATTAAAGAAAAAAGTTTTATAATAAAAAAAATTGTGGATATTATTATTATCATCTTAAAAGTACTAAAGCAAAATTTTTATTGTTTTTTACTATTTATGTTAGTGTATTATATAGTAAATATTATAAAAAAAAGTAATGCAAAATTAAATATAAACATAATATAATAATAATATAAAAGTACTTTTATCGTATAATAATTATATAATATTATTAAGCAAAATAACAAGTTTCTACTATAAAAGAAATAAGAAATTTTTTCTATGAAAAGAAATGATAATAATGAATTTTTTACTATTTAAGAAGTACGTATAAAAAAAAATTTTATATATATTGAGATATAATAATTTCTATATATAATATAATATAAAAGTATTGAAAACTTAGTAGAGCGTAATAATATCTAACAACTTTAATAAAGAAATATTAGTTTAGACTTATATTCTTATAAAAAAATGAAAAGCATAATAAATATGTTTATATTAATAAAAAAGTAATAAAGCTTTATAATAATATAATAATAGCAATGACGTGGAAAAAGTAATAAAAGTTTATTTATTATTATAAAAAAATATTTATTGAACTTTTACTAATAAACAGCGGAAAAGTGAAAATAATGTAATTATAATTTAGTTTATTATTAAAATAAATAAAAAAAATAAAGAAAGTTGATCCGTAATGTGAATATATACTAAAATATTAATATATAAAGAGATAATATAATAGAAAATAAAAAAAAAAGTTTTACATTTCATAAAGGAATTTCCATAGAAGTTATAAATCTTTTATTAAGGAACTGGCTGGTTTTGGCGGGAACGTCAAGTATTATAAAGTTTCCGTTGACTATCAAGCAGTTGTCAAAAAAATTAATGAATTCGTAAGTATTCTACATCTGCGGTGGTTTAACTAATTTTGATACAAATACATCTTCTTTGCTACCATTAAATTTATTTGTGCACAATTATCCCACTCACCTTTAATAGACTTGCAGCGCTTCCTTCTCTGCCGGCGCATTGTATTCGTGGGATTCTTTGAATGCACCCAACATTTCGTAATTCATACCGATTTTTATAGTATTTTTGTTATATATATTATTATAAAGAGATCGATTTTTCTTAGGGGGGCCTCTTTCTGTGAGGGGGTTCCCTACTAACTCTCTCGGGCCAAAGTCGGAAAGTATATTATTATTATTATTATTATTATTATTATTATTATTATTATTATTATATAAAATTTATTAATAGTTATATCTACTATTCATGTTAATTATAAAATATATATTTTTTTATTTTATTTTAATTAATTTTCATTTTTTTATTATATCATATTTTGTTTTCATTCTTATTACTATAAAATATTTTCTTTAGCAATTTTTTTATAAATATGATATTATATATTTATTTTATTATTATTTCTGTTATTAATTTTCTAATCATTAAAGAGGATTACACTGGTGGAAACGCTTTTGCAGCTTTTGGGCTTTCCGTATGGCACCCGCTTTCGCTGATTTCTGAATCCTTAAAACTTCACGGCTTTGTAAACGCTGGAAAACTTATAAGCACGCGCATATTAAACTCTTGTTTAAAAGAAAACTTTACATTATTAAATACTTCCTTACTTCCAGTTAGCCTCAGTGTTGGCGGTACTTATTATTATTATTATTATGATTATTATTAATCACTATTCAGCTGGCATAATTTTTCATTTAAAAAACGTCGCTCGACTTGAAGTAAATTACTGCCTTCCTTTGGAATATCCTCCGAAAAAAAGAGATGCGTGGCCTGTTCCGCCTGGAGTGCAGTTTGGGTTAGGCGTCTCCTTTTTGTAAAACGTGTAATAAATAAATTACTATTTTTTGTTCAGCTTAAAAAAATTTTTTTTTCAAAAAATTAAATTTTATAAACCAATTCGCGTTAATTGCTATTAATAATAATTATAATTCTCCTTCTCTTGGAATAAAGTTTCGGCAATCCCACTTTAATTTATTTGAAGCTCAATTGACAATGTAAAAAGTAATTATTTATTTTTTTCAAAGAGCCACAATTTTCTAATTTTAGGGGAAGAAAAGAAAAGTTTACTAAAATATTGATCCCATTTTTAAACTTTCATTTGAAATAATCAATTTGTATACTTCAACATCTTTATAGATAGCTAACTTAATAGGAACGCTTACTTTATGTATTTTTTTTGTAAAAAGTACAAAATACGACTCACGCTTTAAATATGCAATATTGTATTAATATTGATCCTACCTTTGATAAGAAATGAAGTATCTACAAAACTATTTTTATCACAAGCTCCGCAACTTATAATAATTGTTTGCAAAATCTCCTCCTATTAGTATACTTTCCCGTTTACAACGTTACCCTGGACTTGAGCCATTATGAAAGACGAGAACTGAATCAAAGCTTATGAATATTCACGTAAAAAAAAATTACTCGCTATTACCTAAATTATAATTTCTCCCATTTTTGTAGATGTAGTAACTATACGTGAAAGATTAATAAGAAAGTACAATTATATGGTAAACATAATAGTAATAGTATTTGTGTTATAATATTAATATATTAGTAATAATATCTATATGAATTATAGTAATAGTAAATAATAATAATAATAGCAGTGCATTAAATAGTTGAAATTATAATAGCAACCATGACAAAGTTTAAATAAAATAATAGACTTAGTTACTTTGATAAATCCTTAAACTATATATATAAAGTTAGTGAAGGTTTACGCAGGATCTAAAGTTTAGCAAAGATATTAATATTATTTCTTGCTCTCACATGTAATTCATTAAAGTGAAATAGGTAGAGACTCCCGCGCCAGCACCAGAGGTTTTACTCTTTTTGGTGTGCAGACCTTTCACCTACATGAATATAACCCGACTAAAGCTAAGATTTTATTGTATGCACACAAATATATTAAATTTATAAAATAAAGGAAATGAATCCTAAAATATGCATTTTTCCTTACATTTGCTTCTTAGCTGGTCGTAATTTCTACGTCTTTAAAAGGGGACGCTTGTGCGCGCAGTTAAACATTAAGATTAATTTATTTTAGTGAGTCCTCCTGAGCCCTATCATATGAAGGAAGGTAGTTTGAGCACAGTTTAAGTTATTTTGCTCATATTTTATGTATTGTGTCAGCGCAGTAAAATAAATATACGCCGTTATGAATTCAATGGGGGGAAGGGAAGACAAAATACAATTTTATTGGCCAGAATTTTAAAAGTTCTGCTCTCCCAGTGGTGGTTTTGGGGTTTCCCCAACACTTGGGCCAATGGTGGGAGTTCGGACTGATACTTAGAAGTAGTGTACTCCTAGAGAAAAACAAGCTTATAACTTATTGTGTCCGCTTTCTCCCGGCGTAGAAGAGTGGTGTGTTTATGAGGTTATAAAATGCTTAATAGTATGTCAGTGTTAAAAAAAGAAATGAACAGTGTGCGGCGGATACATAAAATGTAAACGACGATGTACAACAATACTAGCTAAGCCATGAGTTCAAATTTAAATACTAATTTTTATGTGGAGTTCGAGATCGTTATGAGGAAATAAGTTATTATTTAGAAACTAGCTTATTTTGTTCATATAGATGAGGTAGGACATGGTATTTTACCAAAATACCTACAAACATTCTGTAAGCAAACGTGTGTATTATGCTGTATTAAGTTAACAAAAGCAATACTGAAAAGAGATTAATATTATTGAGAAGAAGGTAGATAAAGTTTAAAAAATCAGGAAAGTTTAAAAATAACGAACGAATCCTAAAGTTAAAAAAAAAACCAAAATTAATAAAAATTGTAGGGATGAACAGGGAGAGAAGTGTAAAGTTTAAAATACGCTTTAATAGTAAAACTTGTGATCCATTGACTGATCTTAAAGATAAGGATTAAAAAGTTGCTTTCTTATAAAAGGTCCAGCAAAAGCTGCTTTTATTATCAAGGCATTACTCGTCTTTGTACTCCGCATCAAAAGGTTATTACCACTTACTAAATTCTAAAAACGTGGACTTCGAATAAACTTTAAATCTATTGCCGCAAGAATAGAATTAATGTAGTTATGCATAAAATATAGTTGTATACAACTTTTAGCTTGCATAAACTTAATCTCTGAAATATTCTTTAAATGCTTGCTAGAATTCATAGTTTACACGAGCAACATACGATAACTTTATAATTAACAATAAATAACTCGTTATTTTTTGATTTAGAAGTGAAAAAAGATTCTAAAGATTTTCGTTCGATGACCAAGTAGAAGAAGCCACTAAAAACGTGAAGTTGTAAACGCTATAAAGCACGAAAATAGAAAACTGATGTGAACACTAAAAAGTTGCTCTAGAGTATTTGCGTTACTATTATACTATACATAACATAGTTTCAAATATTAACGTTAAAACTGTTTGAGAGTAACGAGGTGCACAAGTATCTATGCTCTTAATAATTGCCTTCATAATTAAGTAAAATGTTATCTAAGGAATACATAAAAGTAGAGAAACACTTAAATTTTAACGCTCAGTAACGTTTTCTTAGTTTGACTTACCTTCTATTATTTTTTTAAAAAAAATAGAAACGCAGAGCAATTTTTTAAAACCTTAAACTCACGACTCGATATAAGCATAATGCTTACTATTTTTAAATTCACAAAAAAAAACCTTCTCGGATCTACAAATGTTAAAAAGTTTTTACGTATAAATACACCAAAACTATACTTTGTCCTTTAGCTTGTTCCGAGTATGCATAACTAATTATAATTTTTGCTGACTTAGTTATGTAGTCAAGTCTTGATAGCAAAAAGCATTAATATACTGAATTCAACTTTTTTTTTTTTTCGTAATATTAGTAACTATTAAAAAAAAAAGGTTAAAAACATGAAGCAGGCCTTTTCTAGCGTGCCTTAAAGTTCTTTCCTAGTTTAATAAAAATCCAACGGAAAACACTCTCGAATGCTCCGCTCACGTGTTACTAACTCCTCTTTTTCAAGATTTTTTTTAAAAAAAAAGTATATAAATAAATTGACTTTATTATTTATAATAAAGAAGTAACCGCTGCTTTTTTATTTTTACTAAAAGAATCTAAACGTTGCTGAGTTTTTCTCTTAACGGATTCAACTAAACTGTAAATGTAATAATTATTTGGAGATTCATTCGACGGAGGCGAGTGTGGCAGTTTGCTCTTCTACGAAATAATAATAACAAATAGTAATAATAATAATAGTAATATTAATAAGTACATGTCGTAAAGCATTTTTTTGAGAAAGAAACTCGCGCATGGCTTGCGTGTTTTTAAAACTGCCATGCGTTTTATCAATTGCGTAGTCCTTATTTTCAAAGATTGCCTAACAAAATAAGCAATATTTTATTATTATTAAGAAAAAGTTATTTATATTAAAAAAAAAACCTTAAAGCGATCATCTTGAACGTTCAGTTTGAACTCATCTTCTACAGATTCTATAATAATAGTGACAACAATAATAATAATAATAAATTTATAATAATATACTGCTCTGCCGTTTCTTTTTAGAGCGTTTAGTGTTTTGTTGCTTTTCTATGTCTTTCATGTTAAAATGTTTCCCAGTGTGGCCTTCCACGTGGTCTTCGTCCAATAACAGCAACTCTAGTTGCGCTTTTTCTTTTAATTCTTCAAGAGACTCCTGTTTTAGACTTTTTTTGTTATTCAAAGGAGTTTTCTTTACTTCGTTTTGCTGAATTAAATTATCGTCGCCGGTGTGGTTTATTTTATTTCCATTAGAACTGTGGAGATGTCGTGCTTGCTTTCCTTTTCATACAAATTAAGAAAAAAAGAAAAAAAAGTTCAAGTTTTTCATATACTCCTCTCCTTCCGAAGTTTTTTTTTCTTATCCAAATACTTTTGCCAAAGTGATTTTTCCTTATCTTCTATTTCTCCTATTCGCCGTTCGACCAATTCCTGCGTTTTGGAGGTAAGGCCAGGGCGGAAGGTCACTTGGATGTCACCATCGCACGTGTTCTACAAAAAATAAGATTATATATAGAAAGAAACCCAAGCGCCAATCAGTACCTTCTTATTTTTAAAAGCACCCGATTCTTCCAAAGAAATCCCGTTTAACAGTTGTTGGTACCTATTTTGCCGTTCTACTTCTTATAAAAAGTTATTCACGTAAATTTTGTAATATACTAAAATTTAGCGAAAAATAAAAATCATGAAAAACGTTTTAATACTACTCACGAAATAACAATATTTTTCTAAAAACGGCAAAAATACAAGGGGAAGCCAAGTACCATCGATTTCACTGTCGGAACTGCATGAGGCCAGGTAATTGGCAAAGTCCATGTGCTCAACTTCTTCTTTAGTCAGTCTTTTCTTTAAAACACGTGCTCTTTCGGGGTCCTCATCGTCCCTTCCGCACCAAAAAAATTTTATACTTACAAGAAAAATAATGAAAACTAAAAAAATGAAAAATGTAAACTTTTAAAAGGTTATGTCATAACGATAATAATACTACGTAAACAAACAAACCAATCAAACTTTGCTTTAAAGTTTTGTAAAGAATTATGGTAATGAAGAGGTTGAAAGTTTCCAGGATTGGAAGTGCACGTGTCTTTAGGCTCATCAGTAAAGCATAGATCATCGGGAATATACCGCAAGTCCATAATATCTCCTTTCGTTATTATTATATTACTATTATATTATTATTTATTAATATTATTACCATAATCATTATTATTAATAAATATATAAACACTACTATTACTTTTAAAAATTTATATAAATATGTATTTTAAATAATGTTAATAAACAGTTATTTCATAATAGCTCCTTTCACTATTATCATTATAACTATTGTAATATATAATACTGTGTAAAAATACACATTTCGTTAGAAATATTGGATAAGTAAAAATTCTTATACATTATTATTAATACAGTACTTGCTATTATTTAAAAAATATAAGTTTTCCATAATTATAAGTAAATTATCCGTATTATTATTACTATTAAAGGACTATATACTGTTCATTTTTTCTTTACTTCTACTATTATTATTAATTGTATTATATGAAACGGTCATTAAATTATAATTATTATTATTTTAAAAAGTGAAAACCGCTAGTCTCGAATTCTTGACCATCGCATTCGTTATATATAACTTTTGCTGTGTTTATGCTATCACACTCACAAACAGCAAAGTAATATTTCCGTTTGCGCACGTGATACTTCATTATCCGTTTCGTATCGATCTTATAAAGATTATAAATATAAATATTTGTAATAAAAGTGATAATGAAAAGTTTATAATATTATATATGTTATATTATTTTTTTAGTAAAATAAATATTCATATATGTATGCCTCATCCTCGCCATTACAAACTTCCTGCTGTGCACTGTCTTGTTCAATAGAAGATTCATCAGAATCTTGTTAAAAGTTATATATAAAAGTATTTAATAATAATCATTTTTCAAATTGTTTAAAACATTATTAATAAAAAATAATAAATAAAAATTTAAAAATGAGAATCTTAACTACCAAATAAAATTGGGCCAATCATAGCTTCTTTTTCAAGGCGTTTTTTTCCATATTCGGAAACAAAAATCTTTACGCTATAAATAGCGCCATCAAGTGGTTTAAAGGAATTCAATAAAACATACAAATGAGAGGCTGCCAAAATAAGGTAATCAGTTACCAAATAATATTAGAGGAGGTAAATAAAATAATATACAGAAGCATGAAGTACCAAATTATATACCGGTATAATCACCATAATAAATAAATATAAACAAAAAACAAAATAAATTTCACTACCAAATTTTAAAAAAACGGCCAAAACATAAATTTTTTGAATACCTAGAATTAAGCTTTTCACCGCTTTTTACTAAAAATACTACTATTTATAGCAAAAGCAAGCTAAATAATAATTTTGAAAAATATAAATAAAGTAATATTTAAGTAAACTAAAAATACTAAAAAAAATTATTAATAAGAAAATCCATTATAAAAATTATCATGAAAATTTACAAAAAGAAAAGCACTAAAACAGATGCAAAACTTTTTTTTAAAAATAAAAATAATATATAAAAAATCTCTGGCTTTAAATAATTTTTATTTAATAATTATACAACTTTACCACTCTTCACTAAAAATACTACTTTTTATAGCAAAAACAAACTGAATAGTAATTTCTAAAAATATAAATAAACTAATGTTCATGTAGAATAAAAAATTTCGAATTCCAAATTAAAAATAAATAAAATCTGTAATAATTATTTATGAAAAAATAATATGTTAAAGCTTTTTATATTATTAAAAAAATATACAACAAATTCTTATGTTTAAATAATTTTTAATAATCATACAACTTTAATATAAATAAAATTAATGAATAATAATAATTTATAATTTTTGATGAGCAAAATAATTATAAATAAAAATTTAGAAATTTCAGAAAGTAACATTATTGTACAACTGATCTCCAGTTTAACTTAAATATCAAATATAAAATGAATTTAATAAAAATTCCAAGAAAAATTATGATAAACTTTTTTTATTAAAATATGCATAAATTAAAATTAAAAAAAATAAATTAGAAATTTTAAAAAAATATATTGATAAAATTAAAAATTTTTTTTAATAAAATATAAAATCTAAATAAATAAATTTAATAATAAAAAAATTATAACTCATTAAATTATATAAAATTTATAGTAAATTAGTAAAAATAAAGAAAAATAATTTTCAAAAATAATAAAATCATTAAATAATTGTCAAACTTTCATCTTTATTATTTTTTTGTGAATTCGAAAGTTTTTCTATAAAATTTTAGTTTCTTTAAATAAAATTTCTTATATAATAATAATATTTAAGCATTACTTTAAGTAAATTTAAAATTTTTCTGAATTTATTTTATGTCAAAGCTATAGAAAACCACGAATAATTTAATACTGAAACTTAAAAGAATTAAAAATAAAATTAGTATTTATAAAAATTTATAATAATCCTTTTGTTAAAAATAAAAAAGTTATAAAATAATTACAACAAATTAAAACCATTTAAAATCTAAATTATCAATAATTATTATTTTTTGAAATAATTCTTTAATATTTTAGAACTATGCAAGAAAAAAATAAAAATGTTTCAAAACGACCAAATAATAATTTAATAAATAAATTAACAAGAAAAAAATATTAAATAAAAAAGTGTCTTAAAAATTAAAAATAATCTTTTTATAAAATAAAATTTTTTTAAATAATAAAATAATACAAGTTACAGACAAAAAACAGTTTTAAAAATAAATAATGTAATATTAAATATTTAAAAATAATTAAAAAAAATTAAAATCAATTATAAATAAATTAATAAAAATTAAAAATTGAAATAATTAAAAATTATTTTTCTAGAGTTTTTTAAGAAAAAAATAGTACCAGTCACCAATTTCCTTTTCAAAAAGATTTTTTAATAAACAATACCAGTTGCAAACAAAAAGCGTTTTATAAAATAAATAAATAATATGATATTAAATATTTCATATATAATTAAAAAAATTAAAATCAATTATATATAAAATAATAAAAATTAAAAATAAGAGATTGAAAGAAAATAATAAATTTTAAAAAGTTTTCTCCTTTTAAAAAAAAATTCTAGTAACAGATACTCTTTTTGAAAAGTCTTTTATTAGAAAATAATACCAGTTGCAACTAAAAAATTTAAAAAAAATAAATAAATAGATAAATAATCAACTAAATGTTAAATATATTTTAAATATAATTAAAAAATTAAAATCAACTATAAAATATTTCATGAAAATAAAAAATAAGTAACAATAATTTTCAGTAGAATTTTTTTTAAAAAAAATAATACCGGTAACAAATTTCCAATCCAAATTACAAATAGCAAATCGCTTAGTCTCTTCGCCATATTCACATTCTTCCTGCTCATCTTCTGGAGAGCTCTCCCGCTCGAACAATGTGGAATCTTCTATTTCCAGAAAAAAAAATTCATCAAGATTATAAATTTAAAATATACAAGAAAAACCCTAAAAACGACAAAATTATAACCCCAAAACCTCTATTTAATTTAAAAACTTACAGAAAATAATTTCTGCTAAACAATAATTCTAAATCACAAATACGCCGGAATTCATTTATAAAATAACATAAAAATAATAAGAAAAATTTAAGTATAATGAATATTTTAGTAAACTATATTCTACTTAAAGTCATAAAAATACTTAAATTAAATTTTAATTACGTTTAAATTTAGTTGTAGGCTCAAAAACTATGAAAAGTGAAGCACAATCCATCTTAATAATAACAATATATTCAATAAATTAGAACAAGAAATCTTACAAAGACATTAAGTTTGACCCATAAAAAAATTTTATAATTACTATATTTTATATAATATCACTTTTTTGCTTCTTTTTATCATTAAACTTTTTTAAAAATAAATTATACTATTAATATATATATATATAAAATTGATATTAGTAATACTTTTTCGTTACTATATTTTATTTTATTTAAGTAAATACGTGAATATATAAAAATTATCAATAATAAAAAATGTATAAAATGTTTAACAAATTTATAACAAAATTTGTTTTAAAATTAAAAATTCACTTTAAATTTTATTTCATAGATTTATAAGTTATACAGTTATATCAAAAACCTTCTTCGCTGCTTTCAAGAAGGCCGACGCCTCTTGCAGGATCAAAATCACTAGTTAAAAAAAAATAAAATAAAATGTTCATAAAATTATTTAAAAAAAAATAAAGAAATAAATTTATAAAGTATAATAAAAAATAGCTTTATGGTAAAATAATGTATAACAATAATAACTTTGTAAAAAAAATTAATTTATTATATTATAGAAAAAAATTTGAATAAATTAACCAAAAATAAAATACGGCAAACAGAGATATATGTACAAAAACTATAAATTAAAATTAAGTAAAAATTAAAGTAAAAGAGCAAAATTTTATGATAAAAATGATAACTACATAACTAATAATAATATAAACAAAAATTTAAAAAAACGTTAAAAACTATATTTTAAGTAACATTTATATAATAAAGAAAATTATTATAAAATCAAGAATTTATAAATGTAAAAAAATTTATAAAAAATTTTACGTATTAAAAAATATATGAAAAAAATAAAGTGTAAGAATATAAAAATCATTTACAGAAGCAAAAGCAAATACACATAAAATAAAAAATAACAGTTATATGCTTTATATATAATTTTATTAACTGTATACTTAATAAAATAATTTAAATTCATAAACAATAAAATTGATAATTTAAAATATAATAATATATATTTATAGCTATAAAAAATAATCAAATAAAAAGGAAATAATAAACTGCAGGACAAAGCAAATAATCAAATTTTTAAGCATAAACAAAATATCTTTAACTATCTACCTTTCTTCAATTTCAGAAGCTTCAAACTTACTTTCTTGTTTATAATTATTATTACTCAAATTATAATCTTTCGAATGTCTTTTCTCTTTGACGCCTTCCTCTTGACATGTTTCAAGTTCATAAAATCTCTTTATTTCCTCATTTTCATCAAAAACAGGTCTTCCATATTTATCAACGGAAGCTAAAAAATTAATAAACAACAAAGAATAAAGAAAATAATTAAATAAACTATACAGTTTTTAAATTTTTTTTCAGTAAACATTGTTTTAAAACGCTCATCTACTTTTAATTTAAATTTCTTCTTATTTATCCTCTAAAAAAAAATGGTTATACAAGTTTGCAGTAAAAAAAATAACAACGTAAAATTCTTAAAGCATACCCGAAACCGAGGATCCCTATAAAGATGAGCAAAACGCTCATCCGTTATTTTTTCTTTCATGTCTATAAAATTTATGAAATCCAAAAGATATACACATATATATCAATATATATATATTATATTAATTTTAAAAAATAACGCAAGCCAACAATAATACAAAACATCAATTTTTTAAAGTTGAAAACTATATCAATTTTGTCACGTGCAAAGGTCCCTTTTATATAATGGCCCAATTTATTTTTAAATTCGAGCAACGTTATTTTTAGTAACAGTTTATTATTTAGTAAATTCGGATTGCCATCGGTTATTTTTAGCTTATTCCTTGCGTAGTAAGTTTTTAAGCAACATATAGTAAAATATTTTATTTATTTTTTTTAGTTAAAGTTTAATTTTTTTTGTTTATTTATAATTTTTTAGACACATTTTATAGAAATAATAAGAAGAAAAGTTTTTCTTATTATGAATTCAGGTTTATTCATATTTTAAATAAAGGTTAAGGTATGTAAGAAATTATATGCTTATTGTTTTTTTCTTCATAACTTTGAAAGAGCTTGAAGATAAATTAAAGAAAATTCAAGCTAGCCGGGATGAAAGCAAGGTCTACTGTTTTTAAATCTGTTATATTTTTTTTTTAGTTTATTTTTAGGGAATCGGCTTGACTTCAGTTGGGGCTTTTGATCAAGACATCTTTGGTGGTTCCGATAAGTTTGCTGGCTATTCCACTTCAATTGCTGTTGATGGAGAAGAAGTATTTTAATTTTTTTTTTATTGAAAATTTTAAGTAAAACTCTTATAGGAAGAAGATGAATTGCAACTTCAGTTTGCTAGTAAGAGGAAGCAATTTACGGCTCACGAGCAGTTCTTCAAAGCAAATGAAAAAGAAGATTTTGATCCTATGAAAGAATATCAAGTAAATTATTTATATAAACACATAAAGTAGATTCTTTACCTTCTATTTATAATAGAAGCTCTGAGACTATTTTTTTTGATTCATTTTTTATTTTCCTTTATATAGATTTTTAAGTTTGTTAATTTTTTTTTCTAAATTACTTTTTTATTTTTAAATAAATAATAGTAATATATTATTTTTAAAAATGTTGGTAAGCATTACTCTTACAATTTTTATCATAAATAAAATAATTTACTAATTTTTTTTTCTAAATTACTTTTTTATTTTTAAATAAATAATAGTAATATATTATTTTTATAAATGTTGGTAAGCATTACTCTTACAATTTTTATCATAAAATAAAATAATTTACTATTTTTTTAGATTCCTCGCGTTGTTGATCGGGAAAATGAATACCAAAAACGGCGATATGCACGTGTTCTTTCACCAGAACGGTTTGAAATTTAATTTTTGTTAATATTATAATTTCTAGTTATTCTTTCTATAATTTTTTTTTTACTCAAGTGCCTTCAATTAGTTTTGATAATGTTTTTCTCAATTTATTTTTAACGATTTAATTTGTTATATACTTTATTTTTTTAAAGTATCTTCAAGTTCTGTTTTAATAATGTTTCTTAATTTATTTATAATGATTAAATATTTATTATATATTATTTGTTTTATATTAAATATATATAACTTTAATTTTAATTTAACTTTTTATATAGTTCTGATCCGTTTGCCCCACAAGAATCTGATGCCCGTACCTACGCTGATGTCATCAAGGAACAACAATTACTAAAAGAAGAAGCTGAGCTGAAGAAAAAAATTCAAGAAAGAAAAGATGATGTTCACTATTTTTTCTTTATTTTAATTTTAAATTATATTTTATATTTTTAATAATTTTTTTCACTTATTATTATCAGACCCGTTCGAGCGCCCCTGCAATCACTACGAAAGAAGTAATTAGCTTTTAACTTTCTATTTTCATTATAATATTCTCTTTTATAAGGAAAAAAAAGTTACTGTTGAAGTTGTCAGTGAAACTTCTTCTTGGGAAACTCCAGCAAGAGAGAGAAAAGTTTAAATTATTTGATTTCTAAATTGCTTTACTTTACCTTTTATTATTTTTTATTAATATTTAATTATTATTTATTATTATATTATTATAATTTTTTAGCGTCGTCGTTGGGATGCCACCCCTCAAGAAGTTAATCTCGGTGGCCAAACTCCGATCCTTTCTAAACCGTCCGATAGTTGGGCTGGTATTTATTATTATTATTATTATTATTATTATTATTATTATTATTATTATTATTATTATTATTATTATTATTATTATTATTATTATTATTATTATTATTATTATTATTAAAGGAGAAACCCCAGGCACTGCGGCAGCTGAAACGCCTAGCAGAAGGCGGAGGCGATGGGACGTGGCCACTCCTAGTATTATTATATATTTATAATTTTCATATTCTTTCGAAAGGTCATTATATAGAATTAACGGTTTGTTATCCGTTTATTATTATTTAGCAATTTTTTTTAATTTTTATTAGTTAATGAGGTTGGCGGTGAGACACCCATTGGCCCGTATGCCGGTCAGACTCCTATTGGTGGCATATATGGCGTCACTCCTATTGGTGTTCATGCCATGAGCCTTCAGACCCCCGCACATGTATAAATCTTTTATAGTATTATGTTGGTTACTTATTTTTTTTTTTTAGCCCGGATTGGCGTTCACTCCCGAGAAAATCCACGCAACACGTGTCGAGAGCGAAATGGCGGAGAGAAACCGTTATTGGTCCGATGAAGAATTGGACCAGATGTTTCCTCAAGAGGTGAATTTCCGGATTCTTTTTTTATATTCGGTTGGTTAATATATATTATAATTCAATAGGGCTACACTATCTTAGAGCCTCCACCCGGCTACCTGCCCCTGATGACCCCTTCAAGAAAATTAATGCAAACTCCTACACCAATGAATCAAGGCGGTTTCATACTTCAGGTTTCCTTTATCTAATAAGAAATTGTTATTAGTAATAGGGATATTTTAAAATTCTATTTATAAAAATATGCTGATTTTTTTTTAAATTTTTTTGCTCTCTTTCATATCAATTTTTTCTAATGTTATTATAAAAAGCTTTATTGTTGGATATACTGTATTTTACTGTTCATTAAAATTCCAACTTTTTTATCTTGACCAATAAGGAGCAAACACCTCGTCCACACGACTTTGGCGTTATTCCGGAACTGGAAAGTCAAGGCCTTCCTGGCATGAAGCCCGAAGACCTTCCTTACTTTGATAAACTTCTTCAGAATGTGGATGAAGATACGCTCGAGCCTGGTTTTCTTTATAATTATTATTATTATTGTTATTATTAATATTATAACTATTATTATTAGAACAAGCTAAAGAGCGCAAGATTATGCGTCTTTTATTGAAGATAAAGAATGGCACTCCACCAATGCGCAAAGCGGCGCTTCGCCAGTTGACTGATAAAGTTTTTTAATCAATTAAATTTTAATTGATAATAGAATGCATAATTTTTCTAATAGACTTGAAAAAATTATCCAATTTCTGATTGGCATTCAAAAAATATAATGAATTATTATTTATGCGCCTTTTTTTTTCTTTCAGGCCCGCGAATTTGGGCCAGGCCCTCTGTTTAACCAAATTCTTCCGCTTCTTATGACGCCCACGTTAGAAGATCAGGAGCGTCATTTGCTAGTAAAAGTTATTGATCGGATATTGTACAAACTGGTATTCTTATTTTATTAGATTCATTATTTTTTAACTTTTTACTTTTTTTGGCTTTATAGGATGATCTCGTGAGGAATTACGTTCATAAGATTCTTGTAGTTATTGAGCCGCTGCTTATTGTCGAAGATTATTATGCGAGAGTGGAAGGTTTTTTTTGATTGGTTAATTATAACAAATGATAACGGATCATTATTTTCACTGCAGGCCGGGAAATAATCTCTAATCTAGCTAAGGCCGCCGGGCTTGCTACAATGATTTCTAACATGCGCCCTGATATTGATAACGAAGACGAATACGTCCGTAATACGACTGCCAGGTTTCCTTAATAAGCAATCTTCTTATTTATATATGTGTTGATTGGTTGCTTTTTAAAGAGCTTTTGCAGTGGTGGCCTCGGCTTTAGGCATTCCCCAACTTCTTCCGTTTTTGAAGGCCGTTTGTAAAAGTAAGAAATCGTGGCAGGCTCGCCACACCGGCATAAAAATTGTCCAGCAAATCGCCATTCTTATGGGTCAGTTTGAATTTTTTGTTCCCTCCTCCGCTCACTGGTTTCTATTGGGCTGCTTTTGGTTGCAGGTTGCGCTATTTTACCACATTTGCGCAATTTGGTAGATATTATTGCGCATGGTCTTGAAGATGAGCAACAAAAAGTCCGCACTATCACTGCTCTCGCTATTGCTGCTCTTGCCGAGGCCGCGACTCCCTACGGTTTACTATTATTTTACGTATTATATAAAATAATTAATAAAATTGAATTTCTTACGTCGAGCAGGTATTGAATCTTTTCAAGAAGTCATTAAAAAACTTCATCGCGGCATTGAAAAGTACCACGGAAAAGCGTTGGCTGCTTTTCTAAAGGCGATGGGCTATATTATTCCGCTTATGTCTCCCGAACTCGCCGTGTTTTTTACCGGCTCGGTAAGTTTTTTTACCTATAAATAATGATAATAAGCGCTGCTTCACTATAAATAATAAAAAGTAAAAATATAGTGATCATAAGTTTCATTAATTTTTATGAATATGTATAATTTTTTAAGATTCATAAAATTCTTGTTCGCGAGTTTCAAAGCCCCGATCCGGAGATGAAAAAAATTGTACTGAAAGTCGTTAAGCAATGCTGCAGTATATTATTATTATTATTATTATTATTATTATTATTATTATTATTATTATTATTATTATTATTATTATTATTATTATTAATTATTATTATTATTATTATTATTATTATTATTATTATTATTATTATTATTATTATTATTATTATTATTATTATTATTATTATTATGAAAGGCACTGATGGCATTGATGGCCAGTTTATTAAAGAAAACTTTATTGATGAATTTTTCAGAGCCTTTTGGGTTAAGCAAGTCGCTCACGATAGGTAAACGTTTATAAAAGTTTTATTATTATTATTATTATTATTAATATTATCGCTATAATTATTATCTTTATTATCTTTAATATCATTATTATTATTGCAGGCATATATATCGCCAATTAGTCGACACGACTATTGAACTGGCCAATAAAGCGGGCGTTTCTGAGATTGTTTCTCGAATTGTTTCTGGAAAGCATTTCATTATTATTATATTTTTTTACTAATTTAATGATTAATAATTTATTTATTATAATGATTTTTTATAATCTGTATTATTATACTTCTTTTTTTTATATTTAATATTTTATATATTATGAATTTATAATTATTATTTATTTTATTATTATCACTAAATTTACTTTATTTTAAGTAAAATTATGGAATAATTTATATTTTATAAATTTTTCATTATTTTAAGTTATAAGGTAGTTATATTTTATTATTATATAATATTTTTTGCTTTTTAAGTTATTATTAATTTATTATTATAATTCTTTTTTTAGTATATTTATAATAATTTATTATCAAAATTATTTTATTATTTATCATAATATAATTTTTTGGCATTATAATTTATCATAATTTTATTTTACTATTGATTCTTATAAAAAAATATATTTTTATTTTTGTTGTGTTTTATAATAATTTATATTATTATTTAATATATTTTTTTCATTATAATTTATTATTATTTTTAAATATATATTTTTTATTTATTTATTATAATTTTATAAATATTGTGTTTTATAATATTTTTATTTATTACTAATAAATTATTTTTAATCTATTTATAATGTTTTATTATCTCTTTAATATTAATTTTTTTTTCTTGAATTCATTTATTATTATTTTATTCATATTGTATTTTTGTTATTTTAACAATTATATTTATTATTATTTATTATGATATTATTCATAACAGGATTGAAAGACGAATCTGAACAGTACCGGAAAATGGTCATGGAAACTATTGAAAAAGTTGTTGGGAATCTCGGCGCTGCTGATATCGATAATGCATTGGAAGAAAGACTGATTGACGGTCATTATTTTTGTTTCCCCCCCTCTTTTTTTTTGTTGGGGATTCAATTTTTTTTTGGTGCTTTAGGAATTGTTAGTGCCTTTCAAGAGCAAGAGAGCGGCGATGAGGTCATGCTGAACGGCTTTGGCACTGTAGCCAATACGCTTGGACTACGCATCAAACCTTATTTACCTCAAATTTCAGGTCCTTTTTCTTAGTTTTGATTGACTTGGGATTCGTTACGTATATAATGATTGGCGATTATTTGGCTCTTTTTAGGGATTGTTTTGTGGAGGCTTAACAATAAAGTCGCTAAAGTGCGTCAACAAGCAGCTGATTTGGTGTCTCGTATTGCTGTCGTCATGGTATTTATAGACTTTGTCCATTTCTTGGAGGATATGTTTTTTTATTGGCTGGTTATTAACTGTTGGGGCTGATATAATATTTTGATTACGAAAGTTAGTATTGTTGGGCGCTGTTATACATATTAATCGGTACTGGACACGAATAAATTACCGCATTCCTTATATTTTTAGAAACTATGCGGTGATGAAACATTGATGGGCCACTTGGGAAGAGTATTGTTCGAGTCTATTGGCGAAGAGTATCCCGAGGTTTTAGGTAGCATTTTATGCGCCATGAAGGTTATTCCCCGCCCTTTTTTATTTATGTATTCAATGTTTATAGTATATTTTTTATTGATTGACCAATAAAAGAGCATCGTGAATGTTATTGGCATGTCCCGCATGACTCCGCCAATCAAAGATTTACTTCCAAGGCTTACTCCAATCTTAAAAAACCGCCACGAAAAGGTTTTCAGTTACCTTTTTTTCTTAACTTATGCGGCCATTTGATTGGAGTTTTTTTTAAGGTTCAAGAGAATTGTATCGATCTGGTTGGGCGAATTGCCGATCGCGGTGCAGAATATGTTGGGTTCTCATTATTTTAATGAATTTTTTTTATTTTTTAATTTTTTTTATTTTTCTTTCTTTTCTATTCAGTGCGAAGGAGTGGATGCGGATTTGCTTTGAGCTACTCGAATTATTAAAGGCGCATAAAAAGAGCATCCGGCGCGCGGCGGTCAATACTTTTGGGTATATCGCGAAGGCTATTGGTCCACAGGATGTTCTGATCACATTGCTTAACAATCTTAAGGTTGCGCGGTTTTTTTGTAAATTTTTATTATAAAAGTTATATCAAAAAAGTTTACAAGCGCTTTTACTTTTTTCTTAAACGTTATTCATTTTTTAGTTAAACTGTTATTAATATTTTTATTTTAATATTTTTTTAAAAAACTTTTTTATTATAAACAATATTAACTCAGTACCAGTTGGAAAAGTTTATTAAAATTTTTTTTTACTGCTATGACGAAACATTAAACTTTATTATAATACCTTTTTATTTGCTAAAGTATATTATAAACTTTTAAATATAACAAAAAACTGAAAGTTATTTATATTATTTTGTTTGTAAAAGTGTATCATTAACTTTTTTTTTAAAGAGAATATAAACTTAATATTTTAAAAAACTATAGTATAAACTCTTTTGTAACGTAAAATGTTATTTAAAGTCTATTATAATTATTTTTGATAGAAAAAAACATTTTATATATAAAAGTGTATTATAATTTTTATAAGGAGAATAAAAAGTTTATTATAGTTATTTTATATAAGTTTATTTTATATAAATACTTTTATAACTAAAAACTAACTTGTAAAAAAAAGTTTATTATACACATAATATAGCGAAAAAAAAATTTATATTTGCTCCCTTATTATTTTTTTATAAAAAGAAAATAAAGAACTTTTTATATTTGTTTTATATATAAAAGTTTATTTTAAACTTATAACTAAAAACATATTTATAGAAAAAAGTTTATTAATTGTTTTATAACGAAGTTTTTTCATTGATTTTGTTTTATTTATAAAAATTGTTTTTATAATTATTTTTCTAACGAAAAACTTAATTTTATATGAACAAGCAAATTAAATAAGAGTTTCTTATTATATTTTTTATAGCGAATTACAAAAAATTGAAAGTGTGTTAAAAGATTTTTTTTATAAGGAGAGTATAAACTTTTTTATTTTTAAAAACTTGAACTTTTATTATAACTTTTTATATATAATATATAACTTTTCAGGTTCAAGAGCGGCAGAACCGCGTGTGTACCACCGTTGCTATTGCTATTGTAGCGGAAACGTGTTCGCCTTTTACAGTTCTTCCACATTTGATGAATGAAGTGAACTATTTTTTTTTATTTACTTGTTATTATTTATAAAAAAAATTAATATATAATAAATAATAAATATACAAGATATATATTCAAAAAAATTAGTATATTTCAAAAAAATAAATAAAAACGTAAAAATAGCATTGTATATATATAAATAAATTACTAATAAAATAATGAATTTTTATATACTTAGCATTTTTTTATTTTTTTATAGCAATGTTCGTGTTTTTTGATATAGTCTATTTATGATAATAATAAATTATAATTATTATATATAAATAAATAAAAGTTTATTGATTGCATTATATTTTACTTATTATTTTAATGAATGAAATTAAAAATTAATAAATATTAAATCAATAATTTTTTTAGTAACTCTTTATATTTAATTCTTTTTATTGCGTCTTCTTACAGTAAAAAGTCCTAAGTTTTTTCTTTTATTTATTGTATTTTATGTGTAAATTTTTTTATATTTTTGCATATAAAAGTTTTTATTATCGTTAATATGTTTTTTTTTAAATAACTATATTGTTTTTTTGTATGAGTTTATATATATTTAAAGAAGCTATTATTCGTATATTTCACCTATTGTTGTGTACAATATATTTTATATTATTGTTTACTTATTATGGGTGTGATCTACGTTACTGATTTCCTGAGCTTATTATACATAAAAGTAATAATATTTATTTCCTATAGTATTTGAATAGTTCTGCTTTATAAGTCATTATATATATTATTATTTACTTCTTATGCTGTTGTACAGTATCGAGTTTTAAATTTACTATAAATATTAATAATAAAATTTTTTTATTTTTACTTTTTATGTTAATAATTTGTTGGTTTTTAAGTTATTATTATTTATTATTATTTATTATTATTTTTACTTATTACGCTTATGCTATTACGCAGTACCGAGTTCCTGAGCTGAATGTCCAAAACGGCGTGCTCAAGTCTCTTTCTTTTTTGTTTGAGTACATTGGAGAAATGGGAAAAGGTTTTATTATTCTTATATTTCTCATTTTTTATAGATAAAGTTTTTAAATTTTGTTTACTGAAGTATTTATATGAAAATTTTTTTTAAAATTGACAAGTATTGATATACTTTTATTATATATTTATCATTATCAGTCCTTTTTTATTTTTATTATTTTAAAAAAAATATATTTTTTATTTTTTTAATATTATTTTCTTTCACTTGATTATATTTTTAAACACTTTTTTCATGAAGATTATATTTATGCTGTAACAACTCTTCTTGAAAACGCTCTGATCGACCGCGATCTTGTTCATCGCCAGACCGCCTCTTCCGTCGTTAAGCACATGTCCCTTGGTTTCCTTATATTAATAATATTATTATTTTTTATTATTATTAAAAATTATGTTTATTTATATTTGCTTTCCATCTATATATGTTATAACTGTCATATAATATATTATATTATTTAGTTTTTGCAAGAATATAATAATATAAATACAATGTATTTGTATTATTATAATCCTTTTATACATTACATAAATATATTTATATTTATAATAAAATATCTTAAAATTAGTTTATTTTTTTAAGATTGTACTTAACCACTTTTTTTAACCAATAAATTTGTTTCATTTTCAGGGGTTTTTGGATTTGGTTTGGAAGATGCTTTAGTTCATTTGTTAAATTTTGTGTGGCCAAATATTTTTGAAACTTCTCCGCACGTGATCAACGCAGGCAGTTTTTTTATTTATCATATTACTGTCTTTATTATTCATTATTATTATTTATTTATTTAATACTATAAACTGTTAACAGTTCATAATAATACAGTTATGGAAGCCATTGAAGGCTTAAGAGTTTCACTCGGGCCTGGTGCTATTCTTTATTATGTATTGCAGGTATTTTTTGCTTGCTTATATTAATTTTATTATTATTATTATTATTATTATTATTATTATTATTATTATTATTATTATTATTATTATTATTATTATTATTATTATTATTATTATTATTATTATTATTATTATTATATATTTAAAGGGATTATTCCATCCTGCAAGGAAAGTTAGGGAAGTGTACTGGAAGATTTATAATAACTTGTACATCGGCGCACAAGTAAATTTTTAGATCATTTTTTTTAATTTATTCCTTATTATTACGAATACCGAAGGACGCACTCGTGGCCTTTTATCCGCGGCTGGAAGATAATGAGAGAAATAATTATCTTCGACGAGAACTTGAATATGTTCTTTAAAAATTTTATGTTGTATAATTAAAAAATTAATAAAATTTATAAAATTTGGTTTTTATTTAAATTGCTTTAGAAAAAAAAAAGTTTTACCCTTACAACTGTATGTAAACGAATTAATTAATATAAAAGTACGCATAACGGCTTATAATATAACCTTAAAGTAAAAGTTTTGCTTTGCTATGAGAGTCTAATTAGAAAAAGTAGAAGTTTAAGAGCTTTATAAATAATAACTCCTTTCTTAAAAAATTAAAAACAGATTAAAAGAAATTTTATAAACTTTTATTTTTACGTACATAATTACTTAAATTTAAGGATGGTGGCTCCATAAAACTCTAGCGGAATTTAGTGGAGCTAATTTAAGTATTTTATAAGGATTTTCAAAATATGGTTGTCTTCCACTAAAGTTAGGAATCCAGTTAATTAATAATTTTATTTGATATTATTATATATAATTTAAATGGAAATTAGATGTTTTTGACCTTTACTTTGAAATGATCGTTTATGATTTTATTATCCAATTTTAAGATAATATAAAGCTGTGAAAGGCTTAACAATACTCTAAAGTATTTCAAAAATTATTTCCCCGGCCAAATCGGTAAGTTTAAAAACAATGGTATCGGAGGCTATCTAGCTATTTTTAATATTTTAAAAAAAATATTAAAAATAGCTAATTAAAAGCATTAAACTATTTTTAAAAAATAAAGTAAAAATACAAGATTTTCATAATCGATAATAAAAGTATTTGTTCACTTTATGTTTTTGCAATTAAGTAACTTGCGCTTTAGCATTTCAAAGATGGATATTTCAAAGTTTAAAGTTTATAAAATAACCCTGTTAACTTACCTGCATTAACAGAAAAAAAAATATTACACTTTGTACGACTTCTCAATACGTATAAAACTTTATATTACTAACAAATAAATTGTGATTAACTCTTTTAAATAAGCTCTAGTCATAAATTAAAACATTTTACAAATAATAAGCAATTCGTTAATTATTTTTTATAAAAAAGTTAAGTACTGTTGGTTGCATAGATTGGTTAAAGAAAGAACCACATACATACGTGTGATAGAGCGCGTGTTAATCCACGTGCTCAAAAATGCTTAAAAATGTTAACAAAAACAATGCTGCTACTCAAACCTCTCTTAAATAAGAATTATCCCAAATGTTTCAACCCTTGAGAGTTGAGAGAAAAAGTAATAAATATGTGATAAAACTTTTAAGGTTAAATGTGGTTCTCTTCTCCGCCTCTTTTTTTTCATTCCTGATTAAGAACTTTGGCAGCAGCGTATAGCTCCTTTTATTTTTACTTTTAAAGGGTATTAGCAGTTCACACTTTATAATATGTTTTAACTACATTGTATAGGTGAGATACAGAATTATAAAGGCTGGTTTCTGTGTGAAAAATTTCGATTAGTAGTAAAATTTTATCTGAATTATTGTAATTCAATAGGTTTAAAACATGGCTAAAGAGTTGTGATTTAAGTAAATAAACCGCATACGTAAGAAATAGTGTATTAGGGGGGGAAATTGCGTTTTTAAGCGCTATAGAATATTTAATAAAAAAAAAACAAGGTGTAATTATTTTTTTTTAAAAATTAAGCGCTGTTTTTTAATTGTTTCAGCATATTTTACTTTTTAAGCCTTGTTCTACCAAGTCCGCTACATTTAGACGTGTTGACTTCACAGGCTGATAGCTTCCAGTACTAGTATACTATAATATATGTATCATATAGTAAAGTCGAAAGGCTAAAAGAAAAACTGTGGTAATTTATTTGACAATCTTTAACCCTACCGAGGGCCTTGCCTTTCAAACCAGGAGCGAGTGGATATAAAGAAAATCTGGCCAACGCGTGCCACATCGCTTATAATGCAAAACCCTCAGGCGAGTGACCCACACATCACATACACTAGTTAAAACTAATTTCGCAAATTTTCGTTACAGAGCATTATTTACTTTTAAAATAAAAACTTATACAATCAAAGATGGCCACCATAATCCGGTATCAAGAAAAACCCTTTTCTGGATAATAAAATAATTTTTTTTTCTCGAAATTTTTCATTGCAACATCTGTAAGGCCCAAAGGTAAGTTTTAGAGGTATGCTTTTCCTCAGAACACTATTGTCTTTTTTTAAAAAGATATTTTTTACTTCTAGAAGGATTCTTTGGAACCCCTAAAAGCTGATTTTAAAGTTCTTGACAGTTTTATAGAAGAGTACAAACGAATTAACAACTTTTATCACTGTAACAAAGAAGGTAGATAGTATAATTAGATATTACAAACTTTTACTATCAATACTTATTTTGAACGAAATTCAACATTGTAATCACTGTAACAGCTTCTGCTGCTGTTTAATTTGGGAACTTCGTCATTTTCTTACAAACTTCAGATCCTGTTTACAGTGCTAGATTTCTAAGACAAGTATAAGAAACTATATATTTACAAACTTTGCGATCCCCTTTAAACATAACTATAAGGCTTCCAACTGCACACTTTTTGATCGTAGTTAAGTGTAAAAAAATATACTAAGTACTATTTAAAATTTTCTTTTTTTTAAAAGGAAAATATTACTACGAGAAAAAGGTAATAAATATACAGAACAACGACGTTTCTCTTCTTCTTACCTTTATTAAAGTTAATAGGTGATAAACGACGAAGTAACAAACTTTGGCGCTTAATTTATTGGTTTTATAATCCTAAATTAGTATATTAGAAAATAAAGATAGTCTTCAGTGTGCCTTTTTTAAAAGGTGAAAAATTTATATATCTTCGTGTATTCATTTATTTTCTTGACTAATATAATCAGAGTGAACTTGTATATTTAAGTTTTTTTTTTAACTTTTACGTCAAGGAAGGATACGTGTAAGGATTGTGTTAGGCAAACCTTTAACTAAAAAACTATAAAATAAGATTTCGTTACTGATTTTCGAAGAATTATTTCTTATTGAAATAACTCTTAAGAATGAACGAAATAAATTTATTATCATTAATAGTTTACACATAAACACAGTTAAAATTTCTTTTAAGGGCAGGAATTTTTGGTTAAGATTTAGTTATGTTGTGATAAATCAAAAGTTAAAATAATTTCCTAATAGTATATTGATGAACGAGGAACAACTTAATTCCGTAATACTTGGCGATGGTACTTTTTATATTTAAAATTTCAAGTTAAGTTTTTAAATATATCTAGTATAAACACACCCAAATTGATTACTATTTTCTTTTTAATAAACTAATAATAATATAATAGCCGTAAGTAACAAATACATATTATTTTTAGTTGAGTTTTTATTGTAAAATTATTTTTACCAATTTTATATTATTATAGTATATTCAATAGTATTTAGAAATTTAAAAAAGAATTCAACTTTCTAAGATATTTTACTTAATAAGGAGCAGTTTTGGTCTCAGCCGGGCCAGGCTCGGGTAAAACAAAAGTAATAATTTCCAGAATAGTGCATCTTTTAAAGATGGGAGTTTCCCCGTCTTGCATTCTTGTTATTACTTTTTCCAATAAAGGTTTTTGATATAATTTTTATATAAAAATTTTGATAAATTTCTACTTTTATAAAGCCGCTTTGGAGGTAAAAACTCGTATTTATGAGGAATTGGATTTGAGTTTTTTAGAAGTTAGCAATAAAAAAGCATCATCGCATATCACAGTTTCTACTTTTCACTCCCTTTGCGCAAAAATACTTCGAAAACATTCAAATCAATATAATGTCCCCAGTAACTTTGGTGTAATTTTTTCTTTTCTTATATGCTCTGGTAGAACTTATATAACTTTACTATTACAGATCTTAAATACTAGCGATCAGAAACAAATCTTTATGGAAATCTTGAATAAATTAAATAACGGATCTGGTCATTATCGTTATTGTAAATGGCTCGTCAGAAATAAAAAGTTTGAAATCATTAACGAATTAGATATTTTATTACTTTATTTTATATACGCTAAGATAATTTATTAATTGTTCTAATTTTGTTTTTTCAAAATAGAAAATATAACTTTATGGATGAATACCAATTTTGCGCTGACAGATTTTCTAAAAATTTATGCGCGACTTACCTAAAGGCCATCAGTACTAACAAAAATCTTGGACTTCTTCTAAATTCTTATATGAAAAACATAAATAAACTTGATTTAAATTTTATTAAACCTGCTGATAAGCACACCGTAAAGTGATTTTATTATAAATATTTCTTAATAGTAAAAAATTTCTTTATTTTTTAATTTTCATTGATATAATTTTAAAAGAAAAGGACGCCATTTTTTTTTTTAATTTTTGGTTTAAAATTTTTTTATTAGTTTTTTAATATATTTGGGCATTAAAGATAGTTTGCTATATATGGATTTATATAAAACCATTTAATAATTACATTAAACTTTTAAAAAATTATATTAATTTTTATAATTTTTCTTTTATAACATTTAAATTTAAATTTTTTTAAAATCTGCAAAAAATTTTCTCAGGATATTTAAATGCTTCCTGAATTTTTCACTATTATAAATTTTGTTAAACTTTTTACAATTTATAAATGCTTTAAGTTATATTATTATTTTTAATATTATACTTTTCATTCGGAGTTTTAACTTATATACTCGTAAACTTTTAAAAAAAGAAAGTTTTTGTATTAATTAAATTCCTCTATTTTTTATAAATAGTTTATAATAAAGCTATTATATTATGAAAGTTTTTCATAAAATTTTACTTTTTTTGAACAGTTTTGTATTATATTTGTTTTGTATAATAATTTCATAAAGAATGAAAGTTTATTTATAAATATATTTATATTATACTAATATAATTTAAGTTTATCGTTTTTAAAAATATTTATTATAATAAAGAAAATATTGTACTAGTACTTGAAAATTTACAGGACTTATTATTTCTGCGCTTAGCAACTTTATTGAAACTGTAAATATTAATTATTTTAATATTATTAGTAAAAAATTTATTATATTTATTAAAGCAATTTGATACTTTACTTTATGTAATA